CAACCATTTTTCACACTCTACTCGTTGCCACAGACTTTCGATTTTTTGTCCTTCTCTCTCTCTCTCTCTCTCTCTCTCTCTCCTCTCTCTCACATATCCTCTTTATCATTTTCTAAATATAAATTTATGGGCAAGAGTTTTCTCAGTGTAGCAAACGTTTTCCGATTAACAATATAGCCAGTATCAAGGCTGAGTGCACTGTGACAACAGAACAACGAAGAATAACGAGTGAAAAGTGAGAAAGTTTTGTATGCCGCTTGTTTCTGGCTGTTTTCTACCTAGCTCTCTCTCTCTCTCTCTCTCACACTCACTCGCCCGCTCTCTTGCGTTCTTTTCTCATTTTTTTTGTTGCAAATCTGGTGACATCTACATTGTGTGCATGCAAAATAGGCTTGTTACAAGTAAACGTGGTACAATATTTGCGAAAAGTATTCATAAATAACCATAAAATTTATGTTTCATCCTTCCCTTCGCTTGTTTACGTCACTGGTGTCTGCTGAGAAAAATGTTCACCAACGCATCAAACATTGAGTGAAAACAGCAAAAGATAAGAAAGCATTGACGGAGATAGCGTGACGAAGCGGGACGGGGGGCTCGATTACAATTGCTTACATTTGAATAACCTGATTTCCTATTCCATCTAACATTTGACAATGACATGTATTGAGATTTTTACAGTCTTTTCATGGTTATCGCTTTCGTTTCAATTGCCTTTTTGACATCATCAATCGACTGTAAAAGCTGAACGCTGCCATCATTACTTTGACTGAAATGAATAAACGTATTTTCAAATAAGAATAATCTGGTGTTTGACACACATATCTTTCTGTGTTTGCCAACCACTTTTCACCGGATGGCTATGGGTTTTCCGTCAACATTTTGTCATATTTTACTCGTGGGTAATAGATGCTAAAAGAAAAATATATAGTTAATCATACAATTTGAATATTCGACATGAAACACAAGTCAACAAAGCCTGTCGCTGAAGATCAATGTGAAATTTGCGAAGGAGTTTCATAGAAAAAGTACTGCATGTCCTTTGCATGTCAAAATTCAAATCAGTTGATTTATCCCCATCTCCGATGTTCCAGACGATATTCCGATGATGATGTGCGTGTGTTTGTCATATTCCAATTCCCAATAAGGAATGTGACCTTTTAGATGTGTATAGAACATTCCATTTTTCGGCTGATAAAATTGCACGAAAAACGCCTTTGTTCTACGAAAATTCGACAGAATCTGTCCCTGGATCTAATTTGCTACTTGGTACCACTGGGCATTGAAAATTTGGGCAAAATTAAACAGACGAACGGACGGACGGACGGACACACATTCAATCAAAAGGAAGAAAAAAAAATATATATTGCAGAATCGTAAAATCAAAAACCAGAAACATCATAAAAATAGACTTCTAGCGGAACCGAACGTGCAGTACGATTATAAATAACAGATGTAAGGAAAGTAAAATCGAAGAAAAAACCTTACATGTGTCATAATTAACACACAAAATATCAAGATCTCAACCCAAATCCCAAATGGAAACTGTTTCGAACGAGCTCGAATCGGCTGAAATCTGTTGCTGCCATCACCGCCACATAGATACACACTATCCCATTGATTGTAAATGATTCGGTTGAAATATTGCCACAAAATACAATCGATAAAAATAAACCGCAGCCATTTCCGAACAGTAATCAAATTAGCAAATCATAAATCATTCGATCAATATTGTGTATATATCATTTGATTTGCTTTTATCTTTTCTTTCTCTGTGCGAGAATAATATCGTAGTAATATCGTTTGAAGTTCATAATGAATTCGATTTTTGTTGACAGTTTGGCATTCTAACTTGCATTCTTTGTCTTTGTTGGTTGTGACGATATTTCGGTTTTCCGTTGTTTTGTTTGTGTTTTGCGTTGAAATGTTTTCGCATGGCATTTATATTTTCGGCATTCATTGAGATAAATAGCTCCGACATTGGCGTATTCACTAGCGTGTGCCCTGTTCGTGAGCAACCATATTTGTTGTCAACTTTAAGTGCTTTGCGATACAACACACGAAGGTGGCAACAATTATTATCTTGTTTTATAACGAGTGATAAAAGTTTATTTTTCTCTCGTGTTTCCGACAGGGCCGTAGCCAGGATTTTTGCCAGGAAAGGGTGGTTCCACTTTACCAAGTGATAGCTTGCCCCAAAAAAACAACTATTTCGAAAAAAAATTTGGGGGTGCTCTTGGAAGTTTACGGAGTTATGGGGCAAAAAGGCCAAAAATCACGACCAGTTTTTTGGACCAGTTTTAGTGCCAAAGTTCTTATATTTTCTCACTTATCCCGTGTACCAATTTTCATCGAAATCGGACCACTTTGATTTTTCGTGATTTTTGGCCTTTTTGCCCCATAACTCCGTAAACTTCCAAGAGCACCCCCAAATTTTTTTTCGAAATAGTTGTTTTTTTGGGGCAAGCTATCACTTGGTAAAGTGGAACCACCCTTTCCTGGCAAAAATCCTGGCTACGGCCCTGGTTTCCGACCGCGAGAACGCTGAACATTCACACTCGAGTAGTACCTGATTGCATCCGTGCAAATGTCAGATAAGTATTTAACTTCCAAAATTACTTACTTAGAAATTGTCACCCACTTTGGAATGTGTGTTGTCGATTTGCGGCATTAGCAACAGCGCGTTCGTCCACACATCAACATTTTCAAAAGGAAATGAAAAACTGAATTTTGTTCGTTGGTTTTGTTTCTCTCTTCTCCTTGAAACGCAGAGGAAGAGAAACCCAGACTATAATTAAGGACTCCTACATTACTTGAGAACCATTTAAAATGGTTTCCCGAGACGTATTCCATGACAAACCAGGGATGGTTGTATGACGATAAGGTATCGCATAAGTTGTTTTTTTTTTCAAAGGAAAAATCTTATACCACGTTCCCCACAATATTTAGTGAAGGTTTAAATTGTTCAGCAGCAGAAAAAAAGACGATTTGAATTTTTTTTCGCAACCAGAAAAATTCTCATTTCATGGTATATAGCGTATTCTGTGTTGGTGCATAACGATTTATGCAATGCATCCCTTGCACTTTTTACCATCAAGTCAACATCCCACATTGTGGAGGTAGATTAAGCATGGCACGTGAGTACATGAATGTCCTCAAACACCGCAATGATAACAAAATGATGGAAAATGTGGTTGCCTTTTTTTTCTTCTGTCATCCATAAAATTCTTGATAAAATTCAACTTTAGAAAAGTTTTAATTGAAATTTCAATTTGTATTTAGCACTTTAATGCATACGCTCATTTACATTCCAAGAAAAAAAATGTATTCAGTTTTTGATGCTGTAGCATTCTTAAGGTTACCATCTCACAATGCGAGAGGGAGATGGTCCCTGAGAAATAATTCGCATTATTAGAATTTCCTCGCAATAAACTATGCGGATGGTTGTTCATAATTCGTTTTCTCCGTGCAGAAAGTTCAAATGATGGAAATAAAAGCAAATATTCTAATTATATGAATGTTACTGACACGAATGAATATATTCGCAAATGCTGGAACGCAATTCATTGAAAAAGCTGAAAACTGATCCATTTCGAGAAACTGTCGAAAAGACACACACACACACACACACATCTGTCGTTGTCGTGTTCAGAGAAGTGACGTCCATAATTAAATAATTTGCCACACAAAGTAAGCGCAACATGAACAATTGTATTTACTGACACTGAAACCAAAATGAAAAGTGAAATCGTGTTGTGCAAGTGCTTTGCAATAAACAATTCCACCGCACCAAAGCATGACATCACATCGTAATTTTATTGTATGTGATGTATCATGGATATTCCATCACACATCGTAGATAGCTCGGTTTTTGCCACTAAATATAATCGATATTGTGTACATGATGCGAGTGAGATAGGGAGAACATCGCACATATTTTCACTCATCAGTAAACACAAAAGCATTTGCCTTTCGCCTCAGAATGTGATTCATCCTCGCCAAATTGTTGTTTATGTGTGGCATAACAATGTTCCGAATTCGAAACCAAATTGTGAGCACAACTTTTGTTTGTGCTAATGCTTAGGTGTTGATTTTTATTTTATTTTTCTTTCTTCCTTTCTTCTACGCTTCTATCAGTTTGGTCGGGCTGATTCATGTAGCTCATCGTACCGTTTGTCATTTGGACTTGTGTGTGTCTCTGTGTGTGTGTGTGTGTGTGTGTGTGTGCATTACGCAAATGTTTGTTCACAATGTAACTTTTCATCTGTAGTCAATTAAATGTTCTCTCACACAAACCGAAATACACTTTCACTCGCCATATATCTCTCTCTCCATTACTCCGTCGTAGTATCGGTTTTTAGCTAGTCTTTCAACTCCACATTCAGACCGATGCTCTATCATTCGTGTAGAATTTTCTTATTTTCGTCGACATATCATCCATACAAATAGAGTGTATCTTTCACAATTTCGCTGTTTGTTCTTTGTTTGCGTACACATCGTTCACACATTTTTGCTGTGTGGCTCAAGCAGTTAGAATAAGTTAGACACTCAAAACGGACAACAAACGAAAACATCAAAATCCAATGATATGCCATGAAAATTGAATATTTCTCTTAATTTTATTATTTATTCAACCTTTTTTCGTCTAGAGGCTCGAAATAGCAAAAAGCTGTTGCTTATAAAGCACGAGCTTTTCCACGCGGTTCCCAATCAATGGACCGTTCTACGAACGATTTCGACTATTTGAGTCGAAATATTTCAAAACTAGTACGGATTTGTTCAAATGAACTGCCTGTTTATTGGGAAAGATGTTTAGACTGAGATCATTTTGTTTGACTGAGATCTGTTCGTTTAGAAAACTTTTTTACAATCATAATAATTGACACTATAATTTGGTGTACAAAACAACGTTCATGATACTACTTAATTTTTTTTTACACATACACACACACAACATTGAAATCATATTATATTGCCCGAAGTAAAGCCGAAGCGTGTGGATTTCTGATTTTATTTCCATTTCATTTCGTCCATTTCGAATTTTTCGTTCGATTTCGCCGTTTTGCTGTACCATAAAATTCTATAAACGATACAGACAGCAGCAAGGGATAAAAACGAAATATACACCGCGCTTTCGATCCGGCACACAGATTTCGTTAGATATTCTGACCACGCTCAACGGCAAAGGATTAAATCTACGCAAATTGCGCGACGAGATCAGTAACGCAGCAAAGCTATAGACGATAGCATATTAAAGTGAGAGGAAATTGGTTCAAAAAGTAGAACCCCACGTTTGGTGCGGCTTATTGTTAAAATTCATTTCCAGTTTTGATTGTTTGAAAATTGAATAATAATTATAATAACGAGTGTTCCGCATTTTTTTCACTGTTCTGTTCCGTTCCGTTCCGTTCGGTATTCAAGCCGTCCGAGATTACGTTTTAATCATTGAAACTTTTATCATTTTTTTCTGTACTTGATGTTGTTGTTCAAATTTATCCGTCAGTGCATGTGCATGTGCATGTGGTAGAAAATTTCCGTTCTATGTATTATATAGCCCATTCCAACGCCAATTGAACTAAGTGCTTTTTTGATTATTTTTCGATAAAATGTAATTACTTCAATCTGGATTGAGGCGCGCGCACGGCACTTTTTCGTGCATACACACATCCAAGAATTGAGCCGCCTTTCCATTTTGTAGCAATGTAAACTTTTTTTCTCTTTGCATGTTTTTTTTTGTTTACCAGTTTTGCATTTTGCTACTATCGAATTTACTGAGAAGGAAAAAATAGAGCAACAACAGAGACAAAAAGGAAAATACCGAGAAAAAAATTATCGAAAGATCCCGAATGTTTTCAACCGGCTTAGAAATGTTTGAAACGTCTCGGAAATATAGCGAGTGGTTTTATTTGTTTAACCCAAATTGAATTTATATTGGAGATGCTTAGATTTTTTTTCTGTTCCAACTCGTATCGTTTTTCAGTCTTATCCACATATTGATTATCATTTTTACGTTTTTTCCCTACTCTCCGCCTATTTTATTTATTTAGCTAAGTGAAACAAAGAAAAAAAAGCAAGCGATAAAAACGACAAACTGTGTTACACGTCATGGTTTCGGTAAGTTTCTATGGAAAATTACTTTTTAATCGAATGCCAAATTTTTGTTTCGTTTTCCTAGTTTTGTTCTATTTACGCATTCGTTTGTGAATTCTTTTTTTTTCCATTTTGGTGTACAAAACTTCGCTAATGATTCAAATCGTCATTTCTAATTTGGGTTACGTAACAGTGCAATGGTTGTGCACCACAAAGAAGAGAAAACAAAAAGAGTGAAGAAAAAAAAGCAACTGAAGTGTAGAGAAGAAGAATAGCAGCCGGCTCTTTTGTGCGAGGTGGCGGTCACACATACCTTTTTTTACGCAATTGTGTGTCGATGATTAATTAATTGTCATGTGGGGAAAACAAATCAACGTTTTCAAAGCTACTCTATTTATTCAAATGTCAGGTTGCAATGAAATAACCAACGAATTGATATTTCTATTTCATTCGAAATGAGTTTCTTTTTTACTCTCCGTTTCTCAACAGCACCCAAAAATCAAATACACACATAAATATATATATAGTATATACCAAAATACAAATGGTCATTTGTCATGATGTTATTTTTGGCGTTGGCCACTCATTTACATGTTTGGCACAAAATATGCATATAAGTATACGTTGTTTCGTATTTTGCGCGCACGATTTTCCATTTCACCTTGTAAATGGCACACTATAAATTGTTTGAGAGAACACATTAATTTGCACGCATAATTTCTTTTCTTTTGTAAGAATGTTTGGACAAAATGCTGATTACCAATCAACATCAAAGTCAAAAAGACCGGCACACGGAATGAAACCAAAAAATTATATCTAATTCTTACGTTCATGTCATTGTGCTCTTACACAGTATGTGCGTTCGTGTGGATGTGTGTGTGGCTCTCTCTCTCTCTCTGTCTCTGTCTCTGTTTCTGTCTCTGTCGCTGTCTCTTTCACTGTATGTGACTATGTGTGTGCCACACAGCAATTGGTCATTTAATAGGAGAAATTTTATTTTTGGAATATTTATGCGGCGCATAGACTATTTTTATCTTCTCAGCACTTGATTTTGAATTTTCATCTCTTCGATAAAATGCTCTTAAAATCTCTCGACCGGATTTTTCCCAGACTTTGATATTCGCTTGCTTGCATTCTTGCAGGCTTTTTTTAGCCGATTTATGTTGTTTTTTCTCACATTTCATTTTTATCATTTGGGATTTGGGTGTCGTGTAAACAGAAAATCGAAAACGAAAAATAGGAACAGCGACGATCACAAATTCAGGTGTCACATAACATTCGTTGCACAAGGTCTGATATGAAAAACGTCATTATTTTAATGAATCCATTAAATAGATAAAATATGTGGGCACCATATCAATTCAATTCGAGCATAATGGCTGTTAACTTGGCTGTTAAATTGGCACTGAAATCTGTTAACTTGGCACTAATTAAAAACCAAATTAATGAATTTTCGTTAGAATTTGTCCTAAATATCACACTTATGCGGAAAAATCAAATGAAATTTTGCAATTAAAACATTTTCGGTGATGTGACGTGCAAACTAATAGCACGCCTCACATTACTCGGCTCGTTTTCTCATATTTGCATACACATCATCCGGCTTTAAGACAGAGAAAGAGGTGGAGAAAATCGGTTCCTGACTGCATTTCAGTTTCGATCTGTTTCGTTTTGTGATGTTTACCATTCCTTACATGCAACATCAAAATAATTAGCCAGAAAGTCAAGTAAACAGCAGGCAAAAATCCATTTGTATTTGACATAATGCCAAATGTCAAATCACTGGGTTAACGCACTTACCATGGTTCGGCCAAAAACAATGAGTAGTGTAGAATTCCGCATGTACAGTTCAAATGATTCACATACTTGTCGAGTGACATTTTGAGTGTACCAAACTGTGTGCGGTTTTCCTTACATCATTACCATCACACATATTATTGGATAATTATTCATCTTAATCTCTCAATAGACCGAGTATAAAGAGAGGCTCAACAGCCGAAAATAATGATGAAGGCTAATGAACTACCTACATATCGATTATTATCTATAAATAGAATACCTCTAAACATTCGCAATCAAAGTGCATGCAAAAAAACTGATTTTCGGATGATCATTCAGAACCGAATCTCATTGAATTTTGGAGAGCAAAAAAATGCCACATCTGATTTACTTGACACACTTCGAATTTGAATATGTCAAATGTATGAATATGAATGTGAACATTCCTCATACGATTCACGAGATTATCTATCCGGCAAAAGATACAATCATAACATTTAATCAATATAGGCTAATTAAAAAAAAACTCCTAATATATATTCAATTAAATCAACCCATTCCAATGATAATTCCTATCACATTCGAATTACAAAAATCAACTGTTCAAATGGCTAAAGAGGAATGAATGAATTTGAAATGGCAAATAGCACATGCTCAAATTATTGTACCATATTCAATGTAACATCCTATCGCTAAAAGCAATCAAATTCGGAATGTTGCACGCATAATTATTTCAATTCATGCTAAAATGTTGAATTGAATTTTCAAACCTTGCATGCACATTGAATTTTGGTCGGCATTATTTTCCAGAATTTTATCTCACACTCTCATTTTTTCTCATTTTTTCTCGCAATTATTACTTTTTGTTGGTGTATGCGTTGTTGTGTTTGTTCGATCTTCGTTGTGCTTCGACTCACGTAGCCAACAGAAAATAATTGCTTGTTATTCTTTTGTTTAACTTTCTCTCTGTGTTTTGTTTTTGTTCTTTTCCGTGGAATATGTAGAATAACGATATGCGTCGTGCCTCATTGGTGGCGCTGAGACGTGGCTCGTTGAGACGAGGTTCTGTGCGACGAGCATCACTGGTGCCAGCATCAACCAGCTTGGATCTGCCATGGGATATTTTGGATCGTTTATTGATACCGATACTTTGTTGTCATGCCGCTGCTATCATTTTATCATGCCTTCTGAATTCACTTCACATTTCGGACGTATCAACGTTGACTCTGTTTGCATGGTTTGCCCTATCAACAGGTGGAGCTATATTATTCTATCATCATTTGAAGGTATGCTATTATTTTTTTTTTTCGTGTGATTTTCTCTCGTCTTTATTTTTTTCCTCTCCTCTACTCCATCGTTCAGTTGTTCAGCTCTCAAAATGGCGAACAGTGAATGTTCGTGTATGTTTTTATCATGATTGCTGTCATTAAATTGTTTCCAACGTCATCGCGTAATCTGCTTCAATCTCATTTTCAATCTTTGATCCGAATCATTAATTGGAGAAAATCCGCAAATCGAATTATAGATGTCCATCAAGCATTCATATTGAATTCCACTTGCAACAATTCTTTCTGCTCACTTTTCTTACACCCCCCCCTCTCTTTCTCTCTCTCTCTCTCTCTCTCTCTCTCTCTTTCTCTCTCTCTCTCTCTCTCTCTCTCT